GGTATGGAGCGGGGTGCTATGAATCGGTTCTACAGTTTGGCGATATCGAAAAGATTGGGGCTCTGTGCTTCTATCCACAGGAAATTAACATCAGGGCTATGGAGAAAGAATTAATGCGACACTTTGATTGGAAGACGGTTATCGGCCTGCGGTACGAATGGGTAAACATTCCCTACAGCGGCCGCAGCAAGTGGAACAAACGATCGCCCGGATGCATGATGTGGCACGTTTACGTCAGATCGAGGGACGCTAAGCGAGCGGATCGAGAGTTACGATTATGGCTGCACCCGTCTACTCCTAAGAAAGATTTCCCATGGTGCGCAGTCACACATTACATTAGCGATTGGAAGGCTGCTCAGAACGGGACAATCAGCGTTAAGGCCGTGGGTCCGGTTAAGGATGAGAACCTCACTATGATCTCGAAGCATAACAACTTTGTGGAACTGACACAGGCCAAATATTGTCCAGTTGAGATTCCAGGGATGCTGAAACAGGCAACTACTAAAACCTTTGGTCCTTGCACTTGTTTGTCTATGTTTCTTTCGATCAAAGCCCGACCTGTTCATGCGGAGAAGGTGGCAGCTGCGGATGTGAACGTGGATTCCGATTCTGATGATTCCTTGCTGGAGGACATCTCCCATAAGTTCACCAAAGTGACTGTCAAAGGGAAGACAAAGATCAAGAAGCAATCTCCAAAGTCTGCCGTGGCACCGACTCTGGAGCATGATGGTTCGGTTCTCACTCCTGCGCAGCAGCGCCGTGCGAAGGAAGCGGAGAGGAAGAGAAAAATGGACTTGGAGAACAACGTTCCTAGTCCCTTGTTTATCATGGTGTTACCAGGTGAGATGGAAGGGACCTACTTGTTCATCAGTAGGCTGAAATATGCTGCCTTGGCAACTAATGTTCTGAATGGACTGGTCCCATTCTTTACACATCATTTGGGGGAGTTGACGACTACTCAAGCTAATAGGGTGATTGCGAAGTGGCTGTCCATGTCTCTGATCCATACGACACGCCGCAAGGAACTTGTGTGGTGCTTGGAGACTTTACGGGCTTGACCATCGGACCAAACTCTACAAGACATTGATGAAGCTATCGATTTCCTTG